AGAAAGAGAGAGAGAGAAAGGAAAAGAGAGAAAGAAAAAAAAAATGATTACGAAGTAACACGATCACGAGGCTATCCTTGAAAGGGAAAGAATCGTAGGCGAGAAAGATCGTGAATATTATTCCTTTCCAATTAGAGAGAAAGAGAAATAGAGAGAGAGAGAGAGAGAGAGAAAGAGAGAAAGAGATGTCCATCTTTTAGAATCGAATTAATCCATTGGATTTGTCTCGAGCCAGACTTGGGCATTACATCAAGAACAAAGCGTATTTGAAAAATGTTGTATCAATTGAATTAACGTATTAGTTTCAACGTATATACATAGAATAATAATGCGATAAAAGATTTTGAATTATTCGTCTAATTGTATTTATTTGTTAATCGAATTAATCACGGACAAATGAATTTTCTCGAAATTGATATACCATAATCAATTTTTTTTTTTTTTGACTCAATTTTAAATAATAATTTCGATTACACAATATTCAAATTAAATAATAAGCAACATGTCAAATTATCTTTTAATTTGAATGAATCGATATAAAAAGGATAAAAAAAAATTCGTGGGAATAAAAAATATTTCCATTAAAATATGCTCAATCCTGTCTTCGAATCGAAAATACTCCTCTCTTCGCTAACGGATCACAAACGTTACCTCGTTCTTTCTCTATTTTATCTATCTATATATATATCTCTATCCTTCTTCTTTTCACGTTTCTTCCCCTCGTAGTTTCGAATCGACGCCTCGAACGTTAATCATCGACCCAATAGACATACACGTGCGATCGTCATTTGTAATTGCAACTAATCGCCGTTCCATGTTTTCTCATCCAATTTTAGGTAAGGAGAAACTGGGCGTGCCACAGAGCGAGAATGTATCCGTAGTGTTGGAATCGGACGGTACACAAGTGGAGGACGGGGAATACTTCAAGACCCTAGCGAATAACACGATCCTATTGTTGCTAAGGCATGGTGAACGTTGGTGTCCAACTGGAGTCGACATCATACGCGCTGGTATCTATCTAATTGGAGAACGTGTGATAGGATTGGCCTATAAATTAGCGATAAACAGGGAAGGGAGGCTTTGCGTGCCTCTTAATTCCGTGGAAACTAGGCAAATAGGATGAGCGAGGCGATTTTCATTTGAAAATAGACCTCTTGTTAGCTTTAATATATGCTATGTAATTTTGAATACTGGTTGTCACTTGAATTTGAAAAACGATTGCGAGAATCACTTGTAAATTGTAAATTTTGTATGGAGTTTTGTTAAATATCTATTGATTGTCTATTGATTTGCAATGTGAATTCTGTGTTAGACAAAGAGTGTTAATATCTTTGGAGAAATTGGAGAAAGATTCTAGAAATTTGAAGGATTGATTCTAGAGTTCAAGCATAAAACTTATAATATATGAAAATATAAGTTATTTATTAAGTTTTAAGCAATTTAAGTTTTGGCATCTAGAATTACTCCACCTTATTTAAATGCTTATTTGAGTATCTAGATTAGAATTCTGAATAGAATTTAAATTGGCTATTGTCTGTATAAATTTTCTATCTGAATTAGAAAGATAGAGTGATTCATATTATTATGTTATCTAAGGATTTCATACGTTGAAATAAAAATAAAATGTCATATGAATATACATACATATCCAATATTTTATTTAGAAAAAATTAAAGAAAATATTACATTTAATAGATATCTCAATTCAATAGATTTTTTAATACGTTCAAAATTATTGTGCATTCAACACAAGCGAATAAAAACTAAATTATACATGAATTACTTTGTATGACCAATTCGTTTTTGAATAATGAAAAATGAAAAATACGAATATTCAAATCTCCAAATAATATTAATTTATTATTATCATAAACCAATATTTATTCCTTTTTAAAAAAGAATTCCATCAATATTTTTCAACTCGAAAATGAACAAAAATTAAAAAATCATTAATAGACATGAAAATTGACAATCAATAATAAAAATTATTAGAAACAATAACGATCTCCATACATTAAGATTCGAGCAACAATCAGTGATAAACAAAAGTACGATATATTATTTTCGATCGACGAGGTTGAAAGGCGTCGCTACTTTTATCTGTTCTTTCCACAACGCTGGTAAACAAAAGGTGAACGGGGGATCTATTACGTTCTTCCAATGATAATTGGTTTTTCCGCTAAATATTTATCTCTCGAGTTATTTTTAGAAATGAAGAGAGGGAGGGAAAAGCGAATCCTTTCAACGTCGATTGATCGACTCGCCTCGACTCGCGTGTAATTATAGATCGTATACGTGTCCTGTACGTGGTAAAGGGCCCGGTGAACATTCGTGAAAGCGAGCTGACGTATTTATGGCTACGCGATCGACGCGAGCAAAGGCAACTTTCGCGACGATAATGGATGCGAGTTGTGCGAGCGGAACACGTTATATCGATTCGTAAGTACAATAAGACAAAAGTGCAGATTCGTCGAAGAGGGCGATCAGATAACGATTTGTTCCCGCGGCGACGCCCACCGTGTATTAATGAATCGCATAAACGAGATCGATATACGTGGAAACGTAGAAAATTGCGTGTAAAAGTTTAAAATTGGTTGACGAAAAACCGATCCAACATCCGAATGAAGAATCTGTTCGCGTTTATAAATGTTAAATGTTAAAAATTTAGAGAAAAATATTTAAATATTTGCGACGAATGAAAGTGAAATTCTGACCGTGTTTCCCGTGATTGCAGCGATTTCGGCCATACCTAAAATAGTCTGCGAAACGATCCACGCCCTGGAGCTACACGATGAGACACCCTCGTGGAAGATCATGGACAATAAAGGACGAGTCACGGTGGTGCTACACTGGGATCAGCGTTCATCCACGTCTCAGGCCCAGCAACAGCAGAAAGGTCAAGACGTGCAGACCTCCAAGTATTCGCCGACTAAGAAAACCGATCTGAGTCAGCGGCCACCACTGGTCATCCAGACAAGCCTGGACAAGCTCAACTACGCGGGGAAGCTGGGACATCTGACGGCCGAGGTCGGCCCCAGCCGTTACACCAGCCCCCACATCACTGTGATAAATCATGACGACATGGTACGAGTTCCCGATTAACCTTCTCTTTTCTTCCGCTTTTTCTTTCTCTATTTCTCGAGTCTTTTTTTCGCTCTCTACCACCGAGTGTCGCGAGGTTTCCAAAATGGAATTCGATTTCAATTGTATTCACTTCACGTTCCCTGGACATCCATGGACACAGATGAGCAAAATTTGATAATTGAATGAATTAATAAGGGAAAAGTCTTGAAGGAATGCGGATCTGATTGGTCAACGTGGAAGGAAACATCTTCACACGTGTTCTTTGTTTCTAGTATAATATTTGTCACATATACTAACTGACAAAGAGGAGCAATAAAGTCTAAACTCAATGCAGTAGATATAGAATCCAAAGTATTCTAAAGTATAATGTAAAAATTTGTTTATTTCTTATAATATATAAAAACAATAATTTAGTAGTTAAGATAATAATTGTACGTATACGAATAAGTTAGATTTACTATAGTTGTATTAATATTATATCAAAATTAATAGTTTCGAAAATATTTGCTTGCTTTTTAGATGATTAGCCTAACGTAACTTCATAAATGAAAATAATTTTTACGGTTTTGAATATTTCAAATTATAGCTCTTCTATTACTATGTAGCGCGTGGTGTCAGGTTTGTCAACAAAGCGTCTGAAGTGGGGATAAACGATCCTAGCGAAGAACTTCCTCTCTTGCCCCTCTGCCGTCCCGCGAGCCTTTTTTTCACCAAAACAGTACTATTGCTTATCTCCTCTTTAGACGCTTTGTTGACAAACCTGACACCACACGTTACTATAATAACAAAAGAGCTTAGAACTTGGAAACAAAAATGCGTGTAAAAATAATATTCCTTCCACGAGACTTCTTTCCATCAGTGAACAGTGAACAGTTTATTCGAAATTTTTGACCACTTACCTTTTCAAACGAATAAAAAATCCCAGCTGAAAGGAGCCCTTTCGGAAACCTCGAATGCTTTCGATCGGAGAGCGAAACTTAACAA